CAGCCTTCCATGGAGTGCTAAGTATTTTCAAAAGATAGAAAATATGTGTGATAGAGTTTGGATGCATCCTGTGTGCATCCAGTCCTTAAAAACAATGGGATGCACATAGAATTAATATTTTTTGATGTTAATGTGATGAGGTCCTCAGATTATTGTTTAACGTTTTTGGCTTTATTGGACTGAACTATTCACTTCACTCCATTTGTCTTTCTTCTCTAAATATGAAATGAAATAATTAATGAAATTGATCAACTTGGCACATGCATTTTCTTCTTATTTCTGTCTCCACCACCCCATAATTAAGAGATCATTTTGAATGAAGACTAGAAGTAGTCTAGTTTTAACAATACCTCCATTTGAAACTGTATTTGCAATGAAAAGTAGCTATCAGGCAGGGGTGCTAAAACATCTGTGATTTTTCTACCTCTAGTTCTGAAACTACTTCTTTGTTAAGAGATGCATCTGCTGAACAAAGTGTGATTTTAACAATATTATGATCAGAAAGAGAAAATGTGATGTTAGATTCTGCAGTTAAGCACATAGCACACAACACTTCAGAGATTCATTCAACTCCTTAAACAGCCAAGGGACATATTAAAGCAGAATCACATGCACATTTAAGATGGATACAATGAATACTGTCCATGTAATGTACAATAATAATTTCAATAGGAAAAGCAAACATCTTTTTTGTAGATATCATGCCATTATGAGTTGAGGGAAAAAGTTGAACTCATGTGAAATTCATAGGGTCACCATAAGGTGACTGACGACATGAGGGCTTATACACTAGCACATGTGTAAAATGAAATGTTATGCTTTCCTTTTGCAGCATCTCTTTTTACAGTATCAGAAAGCTGAAAAAGTATTGTAAAGAGAGAAATTAAAGGCAAACTGTGTATTAAAAGCTACTGTGACCTGTATTTTAAATTATTTGTTGTGATGGAGTTTTTGAGTAGTGATACTACTGGGAGTATTAGGAGGGGAAGAAAGACTACTTGTGAGCAAGACTCCGATGAGGAGCAACAGAGAAAGCGGATCAGGGAAATACTTATGGAATCCAGTAATGATGAATCATTTGAGGGCTTCACAGGGAATAATGGGTCTGAGACTGAGAAGAGTGGTATGGCAAGTTCAGAGGATGGAGAAATGGACTGGACTAAAGTGCGGGAGGTTTAGAACATGTGTGAAGAGCCCACAAATAGCGACACGTTTGTGGGGTTCTCTGATTGGCACAGTGGGGATCCGGCTGAGTCTTGGGGAGTTATGGGTCTGGATAGAAGATGGAGAGATTGGAGAGATCAGCAAAGGGCTTCAGCTGAAAGGAGGTCTGGTGGGGCATTGTCTGATTCCTGTTCTGAGGAGGAATTGGGGCAAGAGGTTTCAGCTGGTAACAGGGTGTCATCTGGTTCCAATTTGGAGGATGATTTGTGAATAAAAGTGGGGTTGGGAGATGGGGTTCCTTGCAGTCGGCAAGGTGTTGATGGGTATTCGTGTGTCCTAGAGAGCTGTTTGGTAAGATGTGTTTGGGAAGACTTCTGGGGATGTAAATTTAATCCAGATTATCCATTACTGCGGGGGTTGGAACTGTGGGGTTTTCTCTGGACTGCCTTTGTGTTGATCTTATGCATTAGCTGCTGTGCTACCATTCTTCGTTTGGCTCTGTGTAAGACCTGGACTGGATTACCGTGTTTGTTGCCTTCTCCCTCTTCGACCTGGATTGGATTCACCACGGCGACTACGCCACATTTGGACTGATTTTGGTAGACGACTCTGGCCTTCCTGTTTGACCCTTCATGCTCACTGACATCCTGCTGCAGATTGGAGTGCTTTTTTTCCTGCCGATTGCATACCTTTAAGTTTAAACCGGATTATATTCCTGTTTAATCCAGGTTATTTTCCAGGTCCTGTTTTTTGGGTTAACTGTGGGTAATACTGTGTTTCACACTGAAGAATAAGTGTTTTGAGCCTTTTTGGTTTGTTTTTGGACTCTCTTGGTTGTGAACTAATAAACTTTAATTTTACTAAATACTGGTCTGGCGCTTTAAGGGATCTGTCTTGCAACATTATTATTATAAGACATGATAGTGCACTAGTATATAATACATTAACAGGGAATGCGAAACAAACAAGATACTTCATATGATCTCAGAAGTGTACATCTTTTATGACAACGCCAAAATTTCAGGACAATTTTCTCCATCATTCCTCCATTGTGAACTATTACTGCAGTGTTCTGTCTTCCTGATGAGAAGAGAGATTGTAATTTTATTCCACTGCCCACAATCAATGATGGTCTTCAAATTGAGTGACAAGAGAAATTATACAGTGCCCTGATCTATAATCAACAGGAAATATATGCTATCATTTCAAGGGGACCAAAGGAGCAAGTATTTGTTGTGTCCTGTTCTTCTATTAGAAGTTAGGAGAGCCATTTTGGAGCTTTTGGTGGGGGGATGTATGCGTGAGAGAGAATGGGTTAGAAATGCTACTCAGTTATATAGGTGACACATTTTAAAAGGTACTTATCTTTTATGTGTGGTTAATAGTTACTGTTTGGCAATTGATACAAGTAATCATGAGCTCTGCCTCGCCTAAGAAATGAGCATAGATAAAAGAACAACACAAGGCGAATGTAACACACAGACTACTCTTCTGACATTATGCCTAAAGATCACAATTGACTGTCATCCTTGATGGATGCTGTAGACAGGTGCCTTTCAGTCCTTGGCATCTCAATGGAAAAAGAGTAAAATGTGTTGTTCATTGTTTGTTAATGGCAAAAAGTTACATTTAGATATAAGGTGCTTAATACTGACTTGAGAACTGAGTCCAGAAATGTAGTCCCAAGGGGAAAATTCACCCACACAGTCATGGGTTTATTGGTTGGTGTGATGTGCTGCCTCCCATTTCATTTTTCTTTTTTATTGGAATGTACACACATTCCAATAAATGTGTGTACATGAAGCACATTCAGATAATATGTAGTAATGAGACTATGTTGACTAGACGGATTGTCTAAACTAGTGGTTCTCAACTTGGGGTCCCCAGATGTTTTTGGCCTTCAACTTCCAGAAATCCTAACAGCTGGTAAACTGGCTGGGATTTCTGAGAGTTGTAGGTTAAAAACATCTGGGGACCCCAGGTTGAGAACCACTGGTCTAAACTGTTATAAAGGTAAAACTATGCGGATCAGAAGGCACATCTGATTTTTCTGATTTAATGAGGCTTCTCTTCAATTGTTTATCAGAATGGGACACACTAGGAATATGATTATTGTTTTTATTGTGTCACAAGTGACTTGAGAAACTGCAAGTCACTTCTGGTGTGAAAGAATCGGCCATCTGCAGAGATGTTGTCCAGGGGATGCCCGGATGTGTTACCATCCTGTGGGAGGCTTCTCTCATGTCCCCACTTGGGAAACTGGTGCTGAGAGATGGGAGCTCACCCTGTCTCACGGATTTGAACCACTGACCTTCAGGTCTTCAGGTTAGCAGTTCAGCCAGCACAATGGTTTAACCCATTGTGAAACAGCGGCTCCTAATATGAGGATAATGTAAACTTAGTAAGATAGATGTGCACGTAAATAGGTTCATAGCTGTTGTATAAAATCTACAATGATTATACCCATATTGCAACAGGCAATACTGTGGCTGGGAGACTGTGGGGTATGCCAACCAGTGTTTTATACTAATTTTTAGGCTTGTGCAAGAAAATAAGGAAAGGGGCAGAAAGTCAGCCTGGGTTATGATGTCAGTGAGAAGGCAAATATTTGGATAAAAGTTTCTGGTGATAGGGGAAACCCCATCATTGGGAAAAGAATCTGAAAAAAGAGAACATGTACCTCAATGTATTATAACCTAAATTGTATAGTTAAGAGTTGGCTAATATGGCACAGGGGGTAGAATTCCATATATGTAATTTTTTTCTGTATAATGCTTTATTGAAGATCCCAAGGATAATAACAACAGGTAAGAAATGATATTGTGTTTTGAAGGATGATGCTCTTACTGGTGTTGATTATTACCAAGTCTGTGAAAGAGATGTAGAGAGTCCAAGGTTCAAAACCGAGGAAAATCTCAATGAAAGTGTAACATTCTGATATTCGTAACTTGCTGTGTAATGATACAATGATGCCTTTAATATTATGTAATGAGACTGAGCACCTCAAAATTGCTAGCTCCCTCTTTCTCCCTAAGGTGTGCATATGTGTGTGTGAACCTTTATAATAACTAGTCTAAAGAAGTACAACGAGAGCCTGATCATTTCCTATATAAATATTCTGAAGTTCCAAGACTTAAAAATGATAATCTAGGATCCAGATTCTGGAATATAGGGCAGTGTAGATCCAACCTTAGTCTAACATCCAAACCACTGAACTGTGCTGGATTCGTAAAAGAGTTAGCATATCTTATATAAGTCATGTACCTTTCCCTGGTCTAAACTTTGTCCATTTGATTGGCTAGTTTTCTACTTTTCTTCCATTATGGGCATTTGCTGAAAAGTAAAAAAAAAAAGAATGGTCAGCAAATAAACAAGAGAACCAATTACAGCTCTTTCAGCTGTGAAATGCAGAGGACTCCGGAGACAAATCAGGACTCAGCCTTGTTCCCACTGGAGCCATAAAACCTGCCTGCCGTTTTAGATTTGTCTCCTCTGGGGAACAAATCCCAGCAGCTGCTTTTAAAATGCTGAGGATAAAAAGCTTTTCCCTTCCTGATTGCTAGGAATGCACATTTGAGGGTATGCAAGGCTGAAATATGCACTTAAAAGCTACAATAAGGCATTGCCAAAAAATTGGAATCACCCGCAGAGCTTTTCTTTCTAAGGTGGAGCAATTGGAGTAGTGACACCTAAATAATGCCATTTTATAAACACAACAAAAAGGCCACCTGTTTTATTTTTGTGGATATTTCTGCTTTGTGTAAGCAGATACATGAATGTGCTGGAATACTTGGTATATGCCTCTATCAAATGCATGGCTGTTTTTGTCATTAAACAGGTAGAAGATAATGCAAGAAGCAGTTGCAAGGTGTTGGTGGAGAGACACCTGTTTGCTCCATCATTTGGTAGGTATTGTGAAAGCTCACAAATTTTGGAGGATTATTTAACTCAGAATCTAAATATTGACCCAACCAGAAGTGTTTGAAAGTGGTTGTACCATCTTTCCCCTGTAGTAGAAGGCAATTATTGGAGAGAAATAAATGGTTTATGATTTGAGAATTTCTTGATGAGGACACAGTGGCTGTTGATTGTGGATCTTTTTTACTCAACAGTTGTAGCAAGGAGAAAATACAACACCGCCAGAGTTCTGTGAGCTCAGCATTCTTTTGAATAAAGCAGTGAGTGTTCAAGGATCGGCACCTGAGTTGGGATACCAAGCTGCAGTCAATATTTCCCTCTCGACCCGCCTCCCTCTTTCCTGATTGGTCGAGAAGCCGAGACGGCAGAAGCTCAGCGATTGGCCAAGGCGCTCAGGAGACGGCCAAGCCTCCTCCCAGCTATAGAGCGCCAGCCAATCAAGCCGACAGAGGGGCGGGGAGCGGGAAATTCAAACCGGACAGCTCTGTTTTATGTATAAAAAGGCCTTTATTTGTGTACACTGTATGCTCTGCTTGGCGAAATATTGCTGCTTTGCATCCTTTCCAGCTGGACCGCAATAAAATCAACTCGGTGGTGCTTCCTTCAACTTTGGTGAGATTCTTTTGTGAACTTAGGGAAATCTTTTAAATTGCAGCTTCTCTTTGCTCACCATTGTAGTGAGCCCTCTTTAGTGGGTCTGCAGGGACCCTTTTAAATTTCTCCTCGACTTTAGAGCAATGATCTTCCACCATAAACTTCACTGGACTAGCCATGTTGTCCTGCTCACCGTCTCCCAAAGCAGTTACTTTACTCCCAGTTCAAGAACAGAAAATGGAATGTTGGTGGACAACAAAAGAGATTTTAAGATGGACTAAAAGCTTAGTCTTTAAAAAGTGGCATAAATACATAGAACTGGGAATCCAAAACCCTTGAGTGTTCTAAATGGAAGTCAGCTGTTACCGATAGTGCTATGGATTTTGAAAAGGCAGGAAAGAGAGAAATTCATCAAGAGAATAGCAGATCAAACAAACCCTTGTTGGGACCAGCTTCCAACTGGAAATCTATGTCCTCATTGTGAAAGACAATTCAGATCCAGAATAGGTCTCTACAGTCATTTATGGACCCACTGTCAGGGCTGTAGCCCAGGGGGTGGGGTAAGGGTTCAACCCCCCCCCCATTTTTTCAGGTTAAAATAACCTGGTATATTCATGAATCTTAACTGGTTAACCAAATCCCCATGCTAAGTCTATGAGAAGCAAAAAATATATTGATTTAATTAAGTCTATATAATATATAGAATGAACCATACTATATTAAATTACTTTGTGTTATGTAACCACTCTTCATGATTCACTAAAAAAAAATCAATCCCCTCCCCAAATTTATTTCTGGCTACAAAGCTATCTGGAAGGCAATCATACTCATCTGCAAGTGATTGCCAACGATGATGATGAGCAAGGAGGAATGTCCTCCCCCCACAATAAATGGTTCCCACTCTATCCCATAACCTTGAGAAAAAAACACTGAGCAAATGAGTGAGCAAGTGGGTTACTTTTGCTTGGAAGCACATTGTTATTGATTGTTATTGATATTATTCAACCAGGTTTTGCAACTGAGATAATGTATATAAAATGTTCTACAGATGCTATATAACTCCAGACCTCCTAGACAAAATGGACAATTCACAAACAGGTTCCTGTTGGAGGTGCAAAAGAAAGAAAGGGACTTTCTTTCACGTATGGTGGTCATGCGAACTGGTGCAGATCTATTGGAAAAGAATAATAAAGGAAACAAATAAAATGATTTACAACAAAGTAAAAAAGAACCCAGGGATGTGCCTATTAGGGATATTCAGAGATAGATTAAAACAACCAGAGAGAGAAATTTGTTTGTACAGCTTTGCAGCTGAACACATTACAATTGCCAAAGATTGGAAAGGGGAGAAAACATTAAGCATCAAAGATTGGAAGGATAAACTGTGGGATTATGCACAGATGGCCAAGATTTCTAGTAATTTGAAATATGAAAATAATGAAATATTTGAAAGAAACTGGAAGCTGGCCTTAGCATACTTGACAGGAGAGCTAAAGAAATAAAAACAAGAGGAATTTATTGAATTAGAAGTATAGAGGGTTAAATAAGTTATGCATAAATCCTGCGTGGATTAGTGACGGAAGTCAAGGCGGTGGGTAGCACTGGGGGTGGGTGGAGGGGTAACTGTATGGAGGGTTGTTTGTGTATGTGTGTTTGTTTGTGTAGGTGTATATTTTTGCAACATATATGGTTGATGTATTATGTTTTTGAAATAAAATTTAAATTTAAACAAAATTTAAAAAAACACCAGGTTTTGCCTGGTATTCTTGATTACTGTGGCTACATCTTGTCTTATTATTAATGCAACGTATTTTTTCTTAGATTGTCATTTTAAGAGTAAAATAATAATAATAATTATTATTATTATTATTTCTAGATTAAAATAGTATGTACTTATCAGTTTAAAAATGCCTCATGCCTTAAAACTTTAGCTTACTAAAGTTTTACATCAGGCAGTTATCCTGACCCATGCTTCCCACATTCCATATTCTTATTATGTGCCATGCACACATTTCCTTTCACATCAAAGCATGCCAGCAACTGAACATTCTTTCAGTGTGAAATAATAATAAATTATTACCTGCCTTCTAATTAAACATAGAACTGCTTGTGCTCATCCTCTGCTCTTCCTCACTAGCTGCTTGGCTATTAGGAAGCAGATACCTACTGATATTCATGGCATCTCTACTTTAAGCTGTTAGAATTCTACATATATCTATAGCCTTATTTATATATTTGTCAGGTAACATAAGAGTTTAAATCATCTAGAGTAGTCCTTTCTATTCTATTATCAGAGAGCAGTCGGGAACTTTTCGTATAGACTGGCTTCAAGATTTTAATATTCCTGACTTATATTGATGCAGATTGTGAAATTTAGCATACCTGCTAGAATTGCTTGCTGATCTTTATTATGTGTGAGTGCACTCATGCCTTCAAATCATTGATCAATTTATGGACATGTGCATGCCTTCAAATCACCCATTAATTTATAGTGATCCCATGAATTTCATAGGGTTTTCTTTGGCAAGAAGTCATTTTGGCAGTTCCTTCCACTCATATATAGCCTATAGCAGCTGATATTGACCATTAGTCTCATATCTAAGTACTTAGTTTCCAAGATCGGGTGGGATCTGATGCCTTTAGAGGCCCTTGGAATTGCCAGGTGTGTCTCTTATTGGAAGGAATGTCCCATATCTGTGGGCTAGAAGGGTTACTCTTTATGGATCAAGATGGCAAAAATCCTGTTTTGAAGTGTGTAATCATTTTAAAAAGATAAGACCACGTTGCATGAGCAAGTGAGTATCTGAAGCCCTTTGCCAACACTGATAATTAGATCTATCCTTTTATTATCTGTCTTAAAGATTAGGGGGTGGTTTGTTCTGAGCTTCCCAGCAGCCCATCATAATGGGCAAGGGAGGAGTAGAGTACAATCTGTCCTTGGAATGTGTAGTAGGTTGAGTTAGAGGGCAGCAATTGACTTGTGATAATATATATGAGCTTTATGAGAAAGCTGGAATTGGAATCTTAGAATTCCATCTAAAAGATCCTAGAGTTGGAAGGGACCCCAAAGTTCATCCATTCTAACTTCCTTTTAATGCAGGAATCCATACATATGATATGGCCCATTTTGTGTTGCAGTCGGCACTCTAACTCAAAGAGGATATTGTAAAGCTCAGAAAGTACCATGAAATGTAAAGAAAACTTGTCTAAGGATTGAAATATGGTATTTTTTAGCAAGTATGTTAAGCTTTTACAGTTGTCTGGGTAATCCCCTTGGAGTTACTCAGTTGTCTGAGTAATCCCTTTGCATTGTTATTTTGAAGGTGGATTTGAGTGTAACTGTTGTTGAAACTTCTGTTGTTTTGGGGCATTCCAAGCCAAATGCTTTTGTGGAAAAATCGGCTGTCGATTCTAGACTCCACAGAGTGGGGAGAGGGCAAGATTCTCTTCAAATTTAATTATGTCTGAGATTTCAGTTATTCTAATTTTAATCATAGTTGTCAGACATTTTTGATAGTTAAAATAGATTCCATTTCAAAATATTCACAATGGGTTTTCACAAAAACAAATGTTTATGCATTCTGCAATTTACGTTGTTGAGAATGTGAACAGTATACTAATTTTACACATGGCTAAGTCCCCTTTTATTTGGTATCTAGAAAAAATATACTGAGTTATTTCAACTGTCTCTTATTGCTATTCTGAAAACTTGGCAGCCCTTATACTTGCACTTGATACCAAAAAAAAAAAAAAAAAAACCTTAGAGAAACCTGTTCAGGTGGTACTTAGTTGCATTTTGGTTTCAATCAATATGCAAATTAGTCCAGCTCCTGATTTTATTTTCCCCATGCTTTCAGAATAAAAGTTTCTATTTGCAAGGAGTTTCAACATGAGCAGGGATGCTATAAAGAGTTGGAGGGCTTTATTGGGGGGGGGGGGTTAAATCCCTAAAAGGCAGAACACCACTTGTGATTGGAATGAGGCTTCTGGATTACAAGCCCCAAAACCAAAAATCTGTAAGAAAGTAAGAATCTTTCTTCTGGCCAAAAAACCCCTTTTTGAAAGAACTCTCTGGCACCCGCCCACCTAGAAGTGTTGAGTAGCCCTTGGCTTACTTGAGGTATCTTAGGCAAGAGTGTGTTGGATTAGCCCTCAGGCTTGTAGTCTGAGGTAACACTAAAGATGGTTCTTTAAAATCTACGCTGCCACCATTAAGCTCTTGATTACTGCAGGAATCTGCTTTTAAAACTTCAACCACAGAGGCACACGTGAGGCAGATGTTGTGAATAACAAAAAATGATGTTTATTTAAGAGAACAGGAACCATTCAGGTATAAAGCTTAGCTGTTTCAGAGTACTGCCTTAAAAAGTGTGTGGTTACATAAAGCAGTTCAGACTTCGTTACACAGAAACTCTTCTCTCTCCCTTCACAGAAATACTGACAGGATTGCTTCTCTGACAGTAAGTCTACACTAGCACAGATAGTCCTATCCTGGATCTATCTCTTCCCTCCTCTACCAGCTACTTCCCTAATAGCTATAAAATTATTTCCACTAGCTAACTCTGCTAGCCAACAGACCAAACCTCAGGCCTCTTTTCACTAACCCTCTACACCACTCCAAACTCCTGACACCCAGATTCCATCTCCCTGACAGGGTTTCAAAAATCTTCCCTTAAAGTCATTTTTTCTTCTTTTGCCAAGTTAGGCTCCACCCACTCTAACTCAGCCTTATTTCCCTCCAAAGCTGCTCTTTCTAAACATGCCCCCTTCAGGAAATGAGTAATTAAAATGGATTTTCCCCAGCACCCTTTCCAAAATGGCTGCCGTACTTCTTAGGCCTACTTTTCTAGGCTTTTCCTAGCCTAACAGGGAATTCACTAGATTAGCGTTCCTGCTCTCATGTAGTGCATCTGCAATATATCATTAGTGCAGTTTGATACCATTTTACTTGCCATGGCTAAAGGCTACAGAATCCATGGGGGTTGTAGTTTTGTAAGGTCTTTTGCTTTCTCA